TCTACTCATAGTACACAGGTGTTGTCAGTTCCTTCATCTGGTGCGCCTTCCGAGATTGTAGCTGGCAATTCCCCACTACCTACCCAAAGACCATTATCAATGGCCCCGGTCATGAAAATGGTTTTTGTGTCTAGGTTTGCGCCTGATACCTCGGCTGAGGATATAAATTACTATATCAAATCAAAAATAAATGGTAATTATTTTCTAAGATGCTACAAGCTTCGATCGGCATACTCTGAAAGTAGATCATCATTTAAAATATTAGTTCATGATGATATATTTCCAAGTTTGATATCGAAAGATTTTTGGCCTGCTAGAGCGTTTGTTAAAGAATTTCTAGAAAGATCAGATAATTTAGCTCATTTACCACAGAGATCTGAACCAGTATCAAAAAACTAGATAACCTATTTACCATTTGCTATCAGAATGTAAGGGGGTTAAACACTAAATTAACTCGTTTATTTACTGATAGCATTGGTTTTGAATTTAGCATTATTGTGTTTACTGAGACTTGGCTCAAAACGTCTGTGTTAAATAGTGAAATTATGTGTTCAAAATATCAAATATTTAGAAAAGATCGTACTGGTAAAAAAGGTGGCGGCGTCCTTATTGCAGTTGATGCCAAATTTTCCACTAATTTAATTAAATTAAATTGTTTTTCTGACATAGAATTTATCTGCATATCAATTGAATTGGGTAAATTTAAACTATTCGTTACGTGCTCATATATATCTCCTTCATCACATCTTGATATTTATAATCAGCATTTAGCAGCACTAAACTCAATTATTAATATTATGAATGATTCCGATAGAATTTTAGTTCTTGGTGATTTTAATATGCCATCTGTAAAGTGGCTCTCATTGCCAGACTCAGAAAGTTTAACGCCGTTGACATCTGAAGCAAATGTAAACCAATATACATTTGATATTGTTAATCGATTTTGTGAAATTAATCTCCTTCAAATAAATAATATTTTAAATTGTAATGATAGAATCCTTGATCTAGTATTTGTAAATTTTACACAATTTTTTGAATTAATTCGAATTCCTGCTATATGTACTCCAGAAGATAATCATCATCCAACATTATATATAACCATGAGCCATAATTCTACAATTAACGAAAATTCATGTGATTCATTTAAAAATATTCTTAACTATAAAAAAACCAATTTTCGAAAGCTTAATTCTCTTATTTCATCTGTAAACTGGACAGTTGCATGTCAATGTAAGAATCACACCGATTTTGAATTTATAATAGATAAATTTTATAATACTCTAAATAAATTTATTTCTGAATGTGTTCCAACTGTTAGAATTAAAAATTCTGACAGATATCCCTGGATTTCACGTGAGTTATCAAGTATAAAAAATTTAAAAAATAAACTTTTTCGAAAATATAAGAAGTCAGGCTCATCTATAGACTATGCTAATTATTCTGTTGCTAGGTCCAAATATACCATAGAGTCCCGTAGATTGTATAATAATTACCTCAACAAGATCAAAAATAATTTTAAAACAAATCCGAAGTCATTTTATGAGTTTGTTAACTTAAAAAGAAAAGTCTCCTCAAAACCCACAATTTTGAAATGCAACAATAAGGAGTTTGTAAAAAACTCTGAAATAGCAGAATGTTTTGCAAATTTTTTCGCCTCTACTTATTCATCTGCAGTTTGTCCAGATATAAGCTCATATCCTTATGAGCTATCCAAAATAGATCAAATATATATGCCTTTCTTACAAAGTCAAGATGTTGCTAAAAATTTACATACTCTAAAACCAATTAAACTTCCAGGTCCAGATGGTATACCTAGCATAATTCTCAAATATTGTTCTGATACTTTAGCAACGCCTCTTACGTTGCTTTTTAATTATTCCTTAAATTTTGGTTATTTTCCCACTATATGGAAGAAATCTTTTATAGTACCGTTGCACAAGTCTGGTAGTCTATCAAACGTTTCAAACTACAGAGGAATTGCAAAATTAAGTGATATCCCAAAATTGTTTGAAAAATTAATTACTGCTGTTATTTCTCACAAAATTAAATCCATTTTAAGTCCATATCAACATGGCTTTCGTAGTGGTCTTTCAACTATAACAAATCTTATAGAGTTTACTTCAATTGTAATAAAGGGATTTGTTCAGCGAAATCAAACTGATACCATTTATACAGATTTTAGTAAAGCTTTTGATAGGGTTAACCATGAACTCTTATTATATAAATTAGATAATATGGGTTTCAGTCTAAACTTAGTCAAATGGATATCATCTTACTTACAAAATAGATCACAGCTAGTTTTGTTTGAAGGATGTCTCTCAAAATTGATTAACGTACCTTCAGGTGTTCCACAAGGAAGTCACCTCGGGCCGGTTCTTTTTCTATTGTTTATAAATGATTTGCCTACTTCTGTAGTACATTCTAAATTGTTAATGTATGCAGATGATGTCAAGTTATTCATTACCCATAATTCTGAGAAACAAGCCAATTTACTCCAAAATGATTTAAATAACCTTTTTCAGTGGTGCAGATTAAATTGTATGGATTTAAATTTGAACAAATGTAAACATATGTGTTTTTCTAGAAATTCTTCATTAATGAGGCAATACAATATTAACGGTTCGGTTTTATCAACAGTTGAAACATTCGTGGATCTTGGTATTTTAATGGATCCAAAGTTAAACTTTAACAATCATGTCATTTCTATGGTAAATAAAGCATATGGTGTATTAAGTTTTATAAAACGGTGGGCCAAAGAATTCTCGGATCCTTATATAACAAAACAACTATACACGTCTCTTGTTAGACCTATATTAGAATATGGTTCTGTTGTATGGGATCCTCAATATGCAATATATTCCGATAAAATCGAATCAGTGCAGAAACAATTCTTACTTTTTGCACTGAGGGGTTTACATTGGAATAGTGATTTTGTGTTGCCTTCTTACACTAGCAGGTTAAAATTAATTCGGTTACCTACATTAAAAAGTAGACGTATTATGTTGAACACCATGATGGTACTAAAAATATTAAATGGTAATATACCCTCTGATTTCCTAATTTCATCTATTAGAATAAATGTTCCTTTTCGATCTAGTAGATATTATCAACTATTATATGTAGATTTTCATCGCACAAATTATTCTATGGGAGATCCACTCAGTAAAATTTGTATTGATTTTAATTCTGTATACTCTAATGTAGATTTTAGCAAGAATGTTGAATTTATAAAATCTAATATAATTGTATTTTTAAATGAGTAGTGCAACTTAATAACAAACTGGCTGTTGGAGTAGATTCTGTAGCTGGTTTTCTATTCCCTTCTCACATTCCACCATGATGCGGATTATGGTGTGTACGCGATCCCTACGAAAGGGGAGGTCGCCCCCTCGGTCGGCAGGGGTGGGAAAGTGAGGCGTGGGAACGTTCGAAAAAAAAACAAAAAAAAAAAAAACACCAGGTTATGACCTCTTTAGGGGGGATGGTCATATCAGTGACTATATTCCTCTTTATAGGGACTTTAATGACATCAAAGTTGAATTTCCTAGTAGGGAATCCTGGACTAGTGGCTCCTTACCTCTGTCAGGTCTGTCAATCGTTACAGACGGGTCTAAGATGGAGGAAGGCACCGGCGCAGGCGTTTACTGTAGGGAATTAGGAATATACAACTCATATAAACTCAACAATAACTGTAGCGTTTTTCAAGCAGAGATTCTTGCAATCACGAAAGCGGCCGAGGTAGTAAAAGCACTTAATGCCGACATCACGGGACCGGTGACTATATATGTCGATAGTCAGGCGGCCCTGAAAGCGGTGAAGCCGCATACTATAAACTCGAAAGCAGTTCATGATTGTAAGACCGCTTTGAATGATATACTACAGGTAGTTGGTTTATGCTGGGTTCCAGGACATAGTGACATTGAAGGGAAGGGACGAGTTTGCTCGAGGGGGCTCACAGTCGTCCAATCTTCTGATTGAGAGATCTGTGAAACCTCCCGTTCATTGGCAGAGGTAGTCGGTAACAGATGGCTAAGGGAACCTGCTTGCAGAATCTCAAAATCTATCTGGCCTGAATTCTTTCGTAAAAGAACGTCTTCGCTGCTGGAACACAATAAGAGGGAGATCAAAATCGTTGTGGGGATTATAACTGGTCACTGCAAAATTAGATCTCTCACTTCTAAGTGGGACTCCAGTGGAGAGGATTACTGTCGTCTATGTGAGGACGAAGAAGAACTGCGAATGTCCATGTCTGATTAGCAGAAGACATAAACAGTTTGGAAGATATGAAATTGATAATCTAGTCTTCTTCTCCAAAATAGACACTAACCAAATTCTAGGCTTTGTCAAAAATTTGACTTGTCACAACAACCGTACATCCCTAACCTAACCTACCACGAATCCATACAACGCAGTACCCTGGTTTCGGAAAAGTAGGACCACTATATCTTCCACTATTCTCCGTGGCATATTATCTTTAGCGTATTGTCTTTAGAATACAGACACTATAATCTTTAGGTTAATCTTTATTATAGTTATAAATTTGTCCAATCCTTTACAATTATCTTACCTCAGAACATTAGGATACATCCTTGTTAAAAGATCAATTTTGATTTTCATGTTTTGAAAAAGAATTTATTAGTTACTATTAGTACAGTGTTTGTAATTTAATATTTTTCTAAAGATTGTTTTTTAAATAAAAATAAATTCTTTATTGAAAAAGAATGCTGCACGTTGAACAACCCAATTGAATTTTTAATATTACAAAATTACATTTAGTGTTAAAGTGTGAATTTAAAACGCAAGAACAAAATCAAACAAAAATTAAAACAAAACAAAAGCACAAAAAGGATAAACAACGAAAGAGTTTACATTAAATCACAATAACATCTCCTGGTTTGTATGTTTTTTGTATAACTGGCAGAAGACAGTGATTGTAAAATAGTTTTCAATAAATATTAAACTAGATACATGCATAGTTGATAATAAAACAAAGACTATACTAATACTAGTAACATTCATCATCACATTCTCCAGCTTCGTGTCCAAAAACTGAAATTAAATTTGTTTTTCAAGATTAGATATGGATTCGTTGAGAATATCTGTTAGCTCTAAAAACATACCTTCACATGATTCACAATACTTTCTGGGTTCAGGCAATTTCCTTTCTTTCGGTTCATTGTTGTTTCGCTCCGCTTTCGGCGGTGGTGTATAAGGTCTGTCGTCTGAAGCCTGTAGAGGACAATCTTCGGTTTCATGCTTGTCAAATTCATCACAAATATCACAAAATACACGAGGCGCTGGTTTACGTTTAGATATCAGATCGAAAGCATGTGGCCTAAAAGGAATTTTAAAGTGAATTTAAAATATATATATATATATATTTTTAGTATAATATGTTCTGCTAACGACTATTACAATAAGACAAATTTATTAGAATACTGGATTAAATATAGGCAATATAGGTTCGCCCCTTTATATTATTATTAATTATTAAACTACATAAGAAAAATGGAATAGTTTTGCATTAATTGATCTGCGTTGCCAATTTTCCATGGTATTGAACTCCAAAGTTTATTTACGTGGATGCTGTGTACTTTAATGTAAAAAATGGGTAAAACAGTGTGACGCAACCCAGGTTTTTTTATGTTCTTTCTCGATTTGTGACTAAACCACATATTTCTTAAACTTCGTGTGAAAGTATTTTATGAATCGTTTTTCGAAAATTTATCAGCATCTACATTTAAGTGATGCTGACATCAAAATCGAGCTTCAAGATATTGAGTGTTTTTTTTTTTAATTTTTCTCTAGTTTCAATGCACAATCAGGAAATTCAAAAACATAAATTACAGAATTGTTGTACTCGCAATTTTTCAGTAAGAATCTTATTCGCCTTCCAAAAACACTAAATTTGGAGAAAAATGTTTTTGAAAATATTGCGGATTTAATTGCATTTCAGCCAAAAGAGAGATGTTCCCAATTTATCTCAAAAATAGGATGATTTACTACATCCATGGTTCTTAATGGACCGCATTGAAATAGGTATGGATCGAAAAATTATTTTAGGATATACCCTGAAATCGGATGCGCGTTAAAGGCGTATGGACTTTTTGGAAATTATTCGCGTTTAACTAGTTTTTGGACACATCGATGCAACGTGTTCTACATATTAGTCGTCAAATGAAATTTCGCAAAATATACATGGATTAGAAGATAACCTGTAGTACTTCCTTGAAACTTTTGAGGATTTTGCGATTTAGACACAATTTAAAATGTATATTCCACAATATAGTTTTAGTTTAAGATTATTTCGTATTTATAGAACCACACGATTTATTTCAAAGGCCTTATTATAAACCACAAGGTGTATACATACACACAAGAGGTGATTATACTTATATATGTAAATTTTTCGGTAAAATTCAGCTAAAATAGAATAACTCCATTTTTTTAAATTCCTTGTATAAAATTAAAAGTAAATAAGACGACATTATTTCTTCGAACCAAAAACAAATAATTTTCCTCAATATCTTTTGTTGATATCATTTGACTTAGTGTGGTCTTTAGTTGGATATACATATGTCTTTAATATATTTAAAATAATGATGTAATTTCCTGTATTTTTATTATTTTTTCTCATATTTCGCGAAAATATGAAACTTTTTCGCGATTCTTATAATATCTCCATATTCATATTTCACGAAGGAAGCAATTTGTCAACGCTTTTCTTCAATATAATAAATAGCGTAATTTCATATTTTTTCTTATGCCAACAATTAAAACCTCCATAACTTTTGTCGCACCAACAACAAATTTGATCACGGATTCGGAGTCAGGACATTTCTCTCTATCTATGTACCACCGAAAATCATTGATATAGAACCAAAACAAAAAAACCAATTTTTTGAAAATGGAATATTAAAAAATTGGCAATATTGCTCATATAAATTTTACTATACTCACTTGGTATAATCCGTGGGCAATGCTTCCAACGCTTCGATTTTAGCTTTTAATGTATCATTTTTCTTCTGCATATCAGCTATAATGGAGTTTAGAAAACTTATTTGAGCAGCACTGTCACCATTCTCCATGTCCTACAGCAAGGAAAACCATGAGAATATACCAACATTATTATATTGATTTACTTATACGATGTGAACTTACACCTTTCACCGCACTTTCACCAGTGCCATTTTGTTTCAAACTGCCTATTGACTGCAGATCGCTGATGCGTTGCTTCAAAGCCACTATTTCCTTCGTCTTGTCCATTTCGATTAGCTCTAATTTTCGCTGCAATGCGGCACATTCGGTGTTGAGAAGTTGTTCTCTCTCCATTGCCTTCGTTTGTTCCTGTCGCAGTTGGACAATTTGTGATTGCAGTTGTTGTAGCTGTTCGTTTTTCTCAGTCGACGTGTCGTCCATTTCATCGATTATCTTCTTGTACTCTTCCAGCTGCTGCTCAAAATCTTTTTGTTGTTTTAACTTCTCCACCATTTCCAGATGGAGTTTCTGCAGCTCTTCGTTGGCCTGCTGCAGTTCCTTAAGTTGAGCTGATGTGTGCAGTACATTTGATTGTGCCTCATCGAGTGATGTTTGTGTTTGTTGCAGACTTTGATCGGTTGCAGTTAGACGATCTTCCTTTTCCTTCAGTTCGGTTTCTTTTGTGCGTAATTGTTGTTGTGTGGCGGCAAGTTCTTCCTTTATGTGTGATAACTTTTCGATGAGTTTTTCCACATTTTGATCACTTTCCATTTCGAATATTTCAAATATGTGGGCGGTTTCACATTTCTCTTGTTCGAGAATTTCCAATGCTTCGGCCAATTGGGCATTTGTGGCAGAAATATTTTCATTGGATGTCTTCAGGGATGCAATCATGGCCTTAAGTTCTTCGATCTTTCTCTTGTCTTCTTCCACCAGTTTTGCGTTGTGTTCAGAGGCGGCTGACGAGAGCTCCAAGGCATTGCGAAGTTTTTGCAGTTCCAAGTCAAGTTCGGACTTTGTATTCGATTGCAGAATGCGCAACTGTTCTGCCTCGCTGTTGGCTTGGATTACTAGCGATTCCTGTTCTTTTAGATCTTGTGTAAGCTTCTCAATGCTCTGCAAAAGTCTGGCATTCTCCTGCTGCAAATCACTAACGGCTGATGAACCATCATTTTGTGTCTTCTGTAGGTTGGAATACAGCTGGTCCTTTTCGATCTTAAGAGCTGCTATTTGCTTCTGCATATCGCCTTCTTTGGCCTTGAAGTCTAACTGTGATTTCAGCAATTCATCCTGTAATAATTGTATTTGCTTCTGAAGACTGGAAATTGCTTCGTCCAACGATGACTTTGATTGCTCGGAGTTTCTCAGTTGGGCTTCAAAGCTTTCTATGATCGATTTCTGTTTGGCTACCTCAGCTTCTTTAAGTTCCTCAATTTCGCTGCGAGATTTCGACTCAATTTCCTTCTTAGCGTTTTCAAATGCTTCAGCTTGTTCGGATTTAGCTGCTTCTAATGATTTCAGCTGGCTTTGGAGAGTTTCTATTTCATGTTGGTGACTTTCGATACTTTGCTTAGCCTCTTGCAGTTGGGATTCGATGGACATTCGCTCATTGTTTGCCTTGTCGGTAAGTTCCTGAAGTTGTTTCTGGCGCTGTGACAACTCTTCAGTAAGCCGAACAATTTCCGCATTCGACCCAGCTGAACCTTGCCGCAAAGTGGTCAAATCATTTTGTAACATTTTGTTCTGTTCCTCCAGACTTTCACATTTGGTCACAAAACTGTCGAGCTTTCGTTGAAGATCGGCCATATCCAACTCCTGCTTTCCACATTTTTCTTCGGCTTGCTTCAGTTGTTCGTAACGACTAAAGCTTTCTTCGGTGACATTCTTGAGTTCATGTGTCAGTGTCTCCACTTGACTACACATACTGTCGATTCTCTGTTGACTGGCCTGCAGTTGACTTTCTAGAGCGGCACGTTCCGTACTTGATTTGTCCACGAGTTCATCCAAGGCCTTTTGTTTGGTAGCTAGATCCTGGGATAGCTTCATAAGCTCTGTATTCGAGTCGGTAGTCGATCTTCTGAGGGCAATCAGATCAGCTTGAATCGATTCATTTTGCTTGAGTAGCGAATCGTATTTACTCTGCAGATTCTCTTGTTGGCGTTGTTGGTCACTTAGCTGTAGTTCTTGTTTGATGTTCTTCTCCTCGAGTTCGGTAATATGTTGGGATTTTTTGCTGACTTCTTCTTTGGACTTGATCAGAGTCTCCTTCAGATCGTTATAATCTTTAATGGTATTGGCTAGCTTCTGTTGTAATTCTTCAATTTGGCCCGTCAGTCGAATGCGCTCCTCGTTAGTCGCACTAGTCAATGCGGCAATTTCGTTTTGCTTCTGTTGAATTTCATCGTTCAATTTCTTAACTTCGTCGTGAATCGAGGTGTTCGAAGTTCGCACGCCAATTATTTCCTGTTGTAGTGCCTCATTTTGTTGGGCGAGAACTTCGCATTTACTGTTCGTACTGTCCAATTTTCGTTTGAGATCACCCAAATCCAGTTGTTGTTGAGCATAGCGTTCTTCGCTCTTTTTCAGCTCGTCCTCCAACTCCTGTTTGTGATTGAGGAGGGCTTCGTGTTCGCTCCTGAGTTTATCCAATAGCTGTGTGGAACTTTCCAAGGCAGTTGTTGTGGATTTCAGTTCAGATAATTTGGAAGCAATAATTTCATCCTTTTGGATGGATTTCTGGCGTTGATCTTCGATTGTAATGCTGGAGTTCTTTAAATCTTCTTCCAGTCTTCTATTTTGGCTTTCAATATTTGTAATTTTGGCACTCAGCTGCTGAACCACCACCGACGATTCACCAGCCAACGAGGTGACTTTATTTTCTAGTTTTTCTATTTCTCCTTTCAGATCTGTAATTTCTTGCGTTTTGGCTGCCACCACCATTTCATGGGATTTTTGAGTCTGATCCAGATCATGTTGTAATTTCATAATTGTTTCTTGGGCGGATTCTAGATTGTTGTTCGCAGTATTTAACAGTGTTTCCTTTTCAGATAATTTGCCAGCGTATGACTCAACTGTTGACTTTTCCTTATCCAAATCGGATGAAAGCGCTTTTACCTGAGTTTGTAGTTGTTGATTTTCTTCTACCAATTTCACGCATTCCTGACGCAAATCTTTCATGCTGTTCTCTAAAGCGTCCATAGCCGTTTTCTTTGACTCATCCTCTGCAAGAGCTTCCTGTAGCTTGCTCTCAATACTTCTTTGTAATTCTGCCAGTTTCTTCAGTTCATTAGTAGCCTTGTCCAAATTTGACTCCAGCGTTGCTTTCACTTCTTGCAAAGTGGCAACTTCTTGCTTTAGTTTGGCCACTTCCAATGTTTTTTCCTCCAGCTTATTCTTTTCTTCACTGCTACCCATTTGCTGGGTCTTGACGAGTTCATCAAGTGTTGCACACTCGGCTGTCTTTATCGACAATTCCGCACTCAATTTTGCTAACTGAGCTGTGACATCTGCCACCTGTGTATCTCTCGCCTTGCACTCTTCACGTAATATCCGACATTCATCGTCGAGGTTGGCGCGTTCACTCTCCACACTGTCCACTGATGACTTGAGATTCGCCATTTGTTCCTGCAAATTTTTAATCTCATGAGATTTCTCCTCAAGTTTCAATGCAAAGTCCGCCTGAAGTTGCACGCGTTCCTTCTCCGACTCCTCTTTGACCATGGCCAACTCCTTGCGCAAGTTTTCAATACCACATTCGGAGAGGGAGAATTTCTCCAAGGATTGGTCCTTCTCCACAAGTTCCGCTTGCAGTGTTTCATTTTGTTTTTTGAGGTATTGGATATTTTCCTGTAGCCGTTGTATTTCATCTTGTGTCTCCGATATTTGAGTCTCGAACACCTTGGATTGTTCCGTTAGTTTCTCATTTAGCTGTTCGTTACTTTCATCAGCGACATGTTTTCCTGGTCAATTGAAAAATGGTCATACATAATAATGAAATTGTGGCCCAAAATATATGTATTTTTGTAGAAAGATAGGCATACCCGAGGTAAGGTCCTTTATTTTGCTTTCCAGTTCATGTATTTTTTCCTTGTAAACTTGTGTTTGTGCCTGCATGAAATGAATGTTTAATTAGAAAGTGAAATACTATACTGGAGCATAAAATTCGTGGTACACTGATATTTAGAAACAAATAATGCAACGACAGACAGTAAATTAAGATTATTTTGTGGTCATCAATTCCGGACAATATGAAGTAATTCGAGAAGTATTTATAATACATATGTTGTGATTCTTTTGAAACCAAAAAGTGTTTTTGTAAAACGTCAATAATTACCAAAAATATAAGTGGATTTTTTATATTTATATTTTGTTATTTGGGACTTTGTATTAAAAATGTTTAAGACTAATGCGGGATATATACGAATACAAATGTGCCTCGTCAGACTACATGGAGTCGATTAACACTCACCTCGTAAAACATAAATTAAGCGAATTGAAAAATCCCATTTGATCGAAACATTTTACATCGTTATATGTTTGCAAGACCTAGGTCAATTCCGGAGATGGCCAAAGACAGAACCACATTTTTGGTATCTTCTACACAAAGGGTCGACATTTTGTATCAAAGCAAAACACCCTACTCTACTGATAGTGTTTTTTTGCTGGTTGTTTGATGAAATTTTGCGCAGTTCATTCTAGCGTGTCAAGAACAAAACTCATTAATTTTTATCATTCTTATATTTTTATAGTTATTTTGTACTGCTCGTAGAATCGATTTGATAAAATAAATGCAATTATTAATCGATCTTTTCTCACATACTACAAAAAATATAACGCCTTTCCACTAAAGGTCCTGAATTAAAAGCTTTAAACAATAGATATATTTCTTATAGAAATGTTAAATCCAATGTGAATTTTAAAAAGAATGTAATAAAAATTAAAACGAATATAATACACTGGTGGCCAAAACTAAAGCAACTAAAATTGCAAGGTTAATAAATGCCGCCTAACTTTTTCAAAAATTAAGATATCGTGTTGTTTTAAATCGACAACTTTATTTATTAAAAAAAGCATTAATGCAAAATTCATTATGAAATAAATATCAATTTATTGATAAGGAAATTGTCTCTATTTTTGTTGGAACAAAACTAAAGCAACTCTAAAATACAAACAGATGATTGGTAAAATTGTAGTTATTTTGACTATGTTTGGGTTTTTACACCTCTTTCAATCCTTATACAGCATTTTTAAATGAATTTTATTTCAATAACATGTGTTTGGTTTTCTTTTTTGACTTACTGCCAAAAAATTTAAAAAAAGGCTAGAAAAAAATACAGTACTCCCATAAAGCAGCTAACTACCATAAAGCAGCTAACTACAGGAAATGATTTCGGAGAAATAATCCATGAATAAATACGGAATTTCGCGGATTATAAGTTGATTTTATGCAACTATATCAGTATGACAGTTCAGCAGGGAAGAAGGCTTCAAAAGAACATCGTACTGATCAACAAATTGTCATAGCAGTGAAAAATACACATTTGGGAGTTCAAAGGAATTTCTGAGACGGCTATCGGTTGGATATAACCTCAAGAACAGAGCGTAGACGAGCTATGGTAGCAGGAAACTATCAAGAAAGTGCTTTTATGTCTGAAAAGAACCGGAAAGCCAGATTGCCTTTCGCAAAAGTTCAATTTAGTTGGAATCCGACTCAGTGGAGGAATATTATGTTCTCGGATGAATTAAAGTTAAATATTAAAGACTCGGTCATGAAAAAAATTATCGTGATAAAGTCCAAAAATTAAAGGCCCATGTCACAGTATTGCAAGGGAAGTGGGGTTCGATATATTTACGACCTTTATGGAGTAATGGATCGAATTGTTTATACAAGTGTTTTGGAAAACGCAATGATTTCCATGGCGGAAGAAAATATACCACTTGTTTGGGTGTTTCAGCTTGACAATAACCTCCAAAAATACACCAAAATATGTCAAAGATTGGCTGTGAGATTCAAATATCAGAGTTTTATAATTGGCAATTGGCAATAATTGAAAAATCTTTGGAGTATCATAGATAGCAAAATCAAAAGAGTTTCGCAAACAAGTAGATATAGCCCCCTTCCTGAAGGTTCAATAGGATAATCAAGGATCAAATTCACCATTTTATTGATTCAATGTCTCGTAGGAGTGCTGCCGTAATGAAAAAAATGGTTCTGCTGTCGATTACTAGAAAATTTACCTCTTTATAAGAAAAAATCAAAACGTTGCTTTAGTTTTCACCAAGCAAATTAGGGTAAAAATACCTACCTCTGGAAAAAATTTCAGAAAAATGTGATCGTTTTTACTAAACTATAGTTAAGCCGATTTTTCTATTGATATGTGTCCTTCATAATCAGATCTTAACATGTGTAATGCAAAAAATATATATTTACTCGCTGAGTTTTAATGAGTGTTTTGCTTATAAGAGAGTTTCTTATATGAAAACATTTTACTGTGGTGGTGTTTTAGAAGAATAATATTAAGTCCGGGGTTTTCTTATATAACATGTTTTTATATCCGTGGTCTACTGTATCTTTGTTTGAGATGATATGTCCTCAGTCAAATAACAATGAGACATATTTTTGACCTTGTGCATCTTTTTCGTCCTTATGTTCTTAAACTGTAAACTAAATCCACAATATAGAGGATTTAGATAGAGTCCTCAAAAACAGGAAATCCATATTTGTATGTTTCCATCGCTCTGTTCCATATCTAGGAAAACTAATACATTTCGAATAAATTGTATATTGTAATTTTCTTTATTTATGAAAATTAAAAAAAACGCACACATTTTCAGTCACTTTAAGTAAAAAATTATATATTTTTTATACCAAAGCAAAATTTGTACATCTTATTAAGGGGTAAAACATTGCTGAAATGTGAAAAATCAATATTTCGAGTAGTTCATGAGATAAGAGAACGCAATACTTGAAAATGCACAGAAATTCAAAACTGGGGTAGGGGGGTTTCTTCAGATTTTGCCGGTCTTGATTGGTTCAAGATTTGCAAATTGAAAAATGTGTCACCGTGTAATTGTGTACATATGTACAGAAATAAAATGCAAAATAAATATCAATAATAAGATATGACGTATATATAAAGTTTATAATATTAATATTATTGAACACACATTTTCATAGTTTTAATATTTTGTATGGCCGCCCTACTTCTCCTGACAAATTTTAAAATGTGGCTTATTGTGCCTGATGACCCCAAAGTTCATAGTTAAGTAAAAGCTAAGTGTCAATAATTATTGGGGGTTCTTCAAAAGTATTTATTTTTTAATATATTGTTTCGTGACAATTGTTTCGTGACAATTGTTTCGTGACAAACTGTTACAAACTTCTTCGAGTTCCCTCGCAAGAGTGCTTGTAGAAATTTTAGGGTTTTGCATAATTCTTATAATTTTGAGCTTCGGACCACCTGCTCGCCTTAGCTCCAATTTTCCTTAGTTTTCTGCTCAATTAAATGCATTGCATATTGCCTTTCCTATAACTGAAAACGTTTCCGACAATTCGACCACACTTTTCCCCAACTGGCCGTTGTAATAAATTAATTGTGTAAAGCGTTATTTTACTAGCCATATATATTTATTGTTGTTGTTTTTTCTTTCGTACCGGCCCCTGCCGACCGAGGGGGCCACCTCCCCATAACGTAGGGAGAGCGTTCACCCCATAATCCGGATTATGAAGGGTTAGTAATGTAGGGAAACACCGGCTACACTAAAACATCAGGCGGTAAATAAATTAAATTACTTTAACTAACTACAGATGGGACAGAGACAAACAAACTACACGAATGAAAACATCTGGCAACTACTTGTCATCTATTATGTAAAATAGCATTTTTAATAATATGTATAGGATCAGACATGGAAATACGATTGTACAAGTTATTATATATAACACATAGTGATCTAAGCGGATTACTTAGCTCAAAATTAGATCTCACTAAAGGAAGATTTAGCGGTATATAATTACGAGTAAAACGTGAAGATCCTCAAATTTTATTTCACCATTTAGAAATTTTGAATCAATGTGCCCACGTAAAAGTCTTATTAAAAATACAGCTCTAAGCATTAAACGTCTTCGTTCTAATTTTGGAAGATCAATAAGTTTTAAGCGATTCTTATAGAGGGGAAGTACTTCAACTGTACTCCAAGGCAAACCTCTAAGAGCAAATAATAGAAATTGAATTTGGACAGATTCAAGTTTTTTGGAATAACAGTTGTAAAATACATCCATAAAATACATTCATATTCTAATGTAGGACGAACCAAACTAACAAATAAACGTTTTGTCACATAAGGGTCGTCAAACTTCTCAGACAATAGTTTTATGAATCCTAGTAAAGATTTCGCTTTATTAACCCAAGATTCGATATGTAAGTTAAATCGCAATTTCGCATCTAAGACGACACCAAGATCAACAAAGGAAGCGACATTTTCTAATTTGTAAGAACCAATAAAATAATCGACAGGAATTAACCGAGATTTAAATAGGCTAAATTTTTTACATTTCTTAAGATTAAGTGACATGCCGTTAATGTTGCACCAATTCTGAAGAGAGTGCAGACCATTTTGAAGATTAATTACTTGATTTTGCGGGTCTAAATTGTTCTGATGGTGTGTGTGACCTTGAGATGTCAACGCCCGCCGCTAGAAAATATAACATAAAAAGTTTTAGTCGAATATTAAAACAAAATGGATCATTTACAGGACCTGAATTTAAACAACACAGTTAGCGGTGATAATTAACATGCTATGGCTATGTTGCTGAATGTGCCCCATCAAATGCGGAAGCTACCCCGGGTAGGGGCACACTCGGCGAATTTGACTTTTTTTACAATACTGTAAAAATGTTAAACTAACACTCATTTATTATATGTTTTTGGTACTAGTTTTTATAATTAAGTATCAGAGGACAATAATCAGCCATAAAGTTTTTATATATGTTGAATAAGTACTGAGATATAGAACTCTAAACAAAAAGTGCCGAAGGTGCCCCAGTCTCCCCTACTAATGAATCGATTTACTTGACGCTCTATTCTATTGATTACATACGAATTCATTAGCGGAGTCGGCTTAAAAATATGGATAAAAGTCGGATTCTAAATCTGGTATCAACATACTCGTATTTGAAAAACAAAAAATATTATTTCAACTATTATACAATACGAGTAGTTAAGTTAATTATATCGTTGTACTAAAGGTTACTTTCCAGTGAGTTCGTTCAAGTCAAATAAAAGTATGCAACATGGGCCATAAATTTAATATTTTATATTTCATTGAATAACGTATAAGAATGGAGAGCTGTAATTACGGATTTAAACCAATCTTTACTGATATTTTTTTAAGGATCTATTCAACGAGTGTCCGCCTCATACTTGCATCTACATTAAAAATTGAGATTTGGATACTGGAAATCAAAAAGCGTGGATGTAG